ATGCTTTTAAACTTCGAGAATGCGCCAATCTCGGAATTCCACAATCACGTGGACACCATTTTATGCTTTCCGATATACAAGAATTTAACCTGTTTTTCATACAATTATATAGGAAAAAAATCTATCGTGTCTATATCGCACTCTCATCATACCTTTTGCTATCTCGGACTGGGTGATCTTAAATGAAGAATTAGCATTACATTCAAAGCCGATAGGTGAAAAAATGTCTTAATAACTGAAAATTTGGTTTCACGAATGTCGGTTAATTTAAAATCTTACATCTTTATTTCATAAATGAGGTTCTATCCAATTAGGGATGTGGAGTCATGATCCATTAATTAATATGCGCGGATTGAATAACGAAATTCTGATTTTGTATAGGTCTCACCGGTATTTAAATCATAATAATAACCTTCATCATCATCAGAAAATCCACAGAACCCATCATCATCAGAGAGTTCCGAGTTAGAATCTAAAGAATCATTGGATTCACCTACCTCTTCCTTCAGTAAAGATTCGGCTTTCTCGCTTATATTATTATCCTCATTTACAGTTTCTGGTTTATTCTTTGAAATTGCTTCAGTAGATATGCTTACCTCTTCCTCCGGTAAAGATTTGTTATCCTCACTCATCATATCTTCCGAATTAGAGGTATGAAACAATGGGACAGAGGGAATGAATGTAGTGCTTACCTCTGTTTCCAAAAATTCTGAATCTTTATTTAGAGAATTCGGATTTTAGGGCGGGTTCTATCTTAATCTATAATCAAATGTTACGTTATCTATAATATATTAAATATCTCTGTTTGTCATTTTCGAGATACTATCAGCGGAAAAGGAATGTATTCAATAAATTTTATCCATACCTATTACACTGAAAAAGTTTGTAGAGCTTTTTAGCTTTTTCGATTCTCTTCTATAAAAGCGCGATAGAAATATTTGCAGGGAGCTGAGCGCGAACTTCCTTATTTAAAATTCTACTAACTGCATTAGATTTCGGATCAACTTGTTTTTCTGATGCCAATTCACTACGTCTTTGAATGAGAGCTTTACCAAAATTACAATAACAGAAGATTGCTTCTTGGATTTTACAGTCAGCAAGAATTATAGCATTACAAAGTTTTTCATATAAAAATGTGAAGCTAGTATTGCTGGGTTGAGATAATGCGAAACATCGAGTCTTTGACTCTTCTGTTTCATTCAGGGTTGTAGGTATCATATTACTGTCTGCATTGCTATTATTAATAGATGAGCTAGAGTTTTTAGAAACTTCTACCATGAATTTCTGTACTTTGTTTTTATTATATTGTGAAATATCTTTATCATATGATAAAGGATCTTGAGATCCAAGCTTCTTTTCTCTATTTTTCTCTCTTATTATATTACTAACCCTTTTCTTTTAGATCTAGAAATTCATCGATCACTTTATCTGAAGATTTGTTTCTTATACAAATTGGTAATGTGGAGCATTAACATAAACTAATCTCTAGCTGAGTCTTTGTCCCCTGACATATATCAGAATTTGAAGTATCATCAGTTATATCAGATGCGAGAGTGTCTTCACATTGTAAGTTTATCTGTTCACTATTATGATTTATTTTAGGAGATATAGAAGAATCAGATGTGTTATCAGTACATTCATTACCCCTGTTTACAAGCTCTGCTCCTTGATTAATGAGACATCATGTTTTAGTTTAACAATAAGATCAGTTTTTTTCCTATCTCTCTGTTCTAGATTCAAGAATCTGGCTTCAACTTCTTCTTTATCTTGTTTTAATTTTGCATTCTCAGCTTTGACTTCAATATTATTAGCTTCAAGCTCAGCATATTTCTTTCTTAGTTTGCTAATCTTAACTGTAAGCTTGGTATTTAATTCTCTTAACAAAATATTATATATTATGTATCTGTCATCATTTTATATAAGGTGTGGATATATATAAGTATGATTTTTCTTTTTTTTTAGTTATAAATTTATAATATATAGTTTTCAAATATTTTTTTATCATGATACTAATAAATTTTTACTTAGTTCAAATTTATTTTTCTTATTTATATTTTTAAATTAGATTTTGAAGAATTCTTGAAAATTTCAATTTTACATAGATTTGATAAATATAATTATTCTTTTTTTATGCTAGTTAATAAACTCTTTTAATTATACTATTATTTTATTATAATTATTATAATTAATAATAAATTAAATTATATATCATATTAATTTTTATATTTTCTCAAATTTAACTTTTTATTATATTATATGATATAAAATAAATATTATAATCTTGAATATGATCAAAAAATTTGACATAAATATTAATTTTTTGCTGATTTTTAATTAGTAAAATAGCAAATATTTATGATTATATCTTTATTTTTCATTTATCATTATATTATAACCAATTATCTATTTGTATAATGCAATAGATGTGATGTAGTATATAGTATAGCTATAATATGTGATATAGTAATTACTGATTACTACTAAATTAGATGAATAAGAAATTTATATTAATTAATTTTATTTATTATTAATTCTATTTTTAGTCTATATTATTAACCATATTTAGCTTAATTCTTTATTAATTTAGTTATATATATTATACTTAATTTATAATTTTATTAAATTAATAATTATCTAATTAATTATTATTAATTTCTTTCATTTCTTACTTTAGTTTTGAATAACTTAATATTTCACTAATATTAATTCTTTATTATTATGTATTATAATCAATCACTTATTTGTATAGTACAATAAATGTGATGTAGTATATGATGTAATTGTAGCATATGGTATAATAATCACCAATCACTATTAAATCAGGTAAATAAGTAATTTTATTATCTTATTTATAATTAATTTTATTTTTAATCTATATTATTACTCATATTTAGTCTTATTCAAATATTAATTTAGCTATGT